TCGTGACGTCACGGATCTTATAACCAAACTGATAACCACACTCGCTTGAACGGATCGGTAAATACCAATCCAAAATGGTAAATACCATTTCCATTTGGTTATCCGCTTGAATTTGGTTTATGATTTCCAAGGCTAACACATGCCGCACCGTTCGCAGCTCGATCCAGCGGCGTAGAATAGGGTGAGTATTTGAGGCTACTTGTTTATATTGAGCAAATATAATTGCGAGGTATAAAAGGAGCAATGCATCAGCCAATTCGTTTTCGAAATTCATCCTTTGATCTGCTTAACTGTACAGACTGATAAATCTGCTCGTAATAAACGACTCATAATCATGTTTTGCTTCCCTCGCCAACTCGCGGGAAAGTATTGTAATCGCGAAAAATTTTGAAATAGAGATATCATGTTTTTTGGATGCCACATCACATGTAGATCACGAAAAACCATGTCACTCATTTCCGTCAGTCTGTCTGATAATCCTTAGCCCACCTATAACGGAAAGTACCGTTCGGATTTCAAGGAAACTTTCACACAAGTTTACTACTATGCCAAGGGTGAAAAAGCTTTATAGTTTTTGAAAATCGATCTAGTGGCGGCGGTGCTAGAGACAAAAAACTAAAAAATAAAAAACGCCCAAACTTCGTTTCTTAACGTTTCAGAGGCTCCTGATCATTTTGGGATTTTTTTTGTACGGGTTGAAAGTTGGGGGTGATTGAATTTTTTGGCACTAGTATTTTTATACATTAGTATATATTATAAGGCATAGATTTTTTCTATCTCGAATAGATCGATAAATTAACACGATAACACCTTCGTTAGTACCAAAAAGCTCGAGAACCAATAAAACAATGAATATGGAAAAATATGAAAACTACTGCTATATTTTTTCAGAAACGTTTAATACCATGGAATTCACAAGTTGCTTGGTAGTTTGTCAAAGCTAATAAAAATTGTGTGTTCCAAAATAGTCATAATATTTTCCTAATAATAATAATAAATAATCTTTATTTCAAAATAACAGTGCACAATTACAACGTAATGTCCAATAGCAATATAACCATTGAATTTTGTCACAGTCCATTCGACCTGCTCCCTGATAGACATTTCATCTAAGACCAGGTTGCACACGATGTTCTGGTTTTTTGACGCTAACTTTTTTACATTCAAAGCATTTAGTGCTTCTGAAGTAAAACCAGGAGAGCCATCAATTGACTGATACCATTTAGAAATCGTGTATGGATGAGGCAAAGATTTATTAAAAGTATTCCTTACGAACTGGTATGCTTTTGGGGAGTAAAAAGATAGCATCAAAGCAAAACATCTAATAGATGGGTCATATTTTTGTGAAGATGGGCCTTTCAACATCCTCTCGAATATTTTTTGTCCTGAGGTTGATAAAGAGGCCTGAAAAAACAAAAAGATGGGTGTAAGGTGTAATAGCACTGCTACTCATTATTTTAGAGTTAAATCACCACATTCATCTTAAAAGGTTGATTTTGACTACCTTCTCCAGTCATTTACTTACATTAAACTAGTTAAATTAAACAGGAATTGATGAAACAAGTAAATTTATTACACATTCAATTGAAAACATGTAGTCTTTACTACTATCCAAAACTCAGTATGGTTGATACCAAAGAAAAAAATTGAAATAATTTTACTTCTGTCCGATATTCTATATTATCTAATTTAGAGATTTTTACCTCAAGAACAGTCCCTGAAAAATTAGTTATACATGATTTTTCTTTAAGCAGCTTCATCAAGCCTCCTAATGTCTTGATTTTTTCCTAAGGTATGTATTGCTAGCCTGAAGATTATGACTCTTGTTTCTCAGAGTAGTTATAGTATTCTTCATCAAATGGAAATTCTTCTTTGCCTTCTCTGGTGTAAAAAAGTCTGATGAAGATAGGTCACCCACATACCTTCTTTTTCTGAAACAATGAGATATGATTGGAATTCATCATATGTGTGACGCATTATGTCATTAAAATCTTATTAGATCATCTATTTTCTCAATATTTCTCACCTATATTTTTACATGCAGTTGCAAGAGAAACATCCTTGAACCTAGCATCAGGCTCTGGTTGGTTCTCAGTTTCTGAGGCCGTAATTGTTGATGAAGAAGATCCAAAACTTTGATCAAGATTGGAAACTCATGCTTTTTTCCTGTTGCTGACCTATAAAAATAAAATATCATAATATAATTATATTATATTAAATTATGTAAAATATTTCATGTAATTTAATATTCAAAACAAAAATACTTACAAGCTGGTAGACAAGCCAGAAATGCTGGGTAGGTCATCAAATTTCAGCCTGAAACAAAAAGCAAGTATTATATTACTATAAATATACTATAAATAACTCACAGCTGTGTAAGTTACCTAACATCTGTAGAGTCAGTGTTTTCACTAATTGAATAAGAACAACTGAAATTGCGATATGTTGGAACAACAATAAGATACAGACATACCTCACATTTTCTGGAAAACTAAACAAAGAATGTTTAGCCAAAGGGACAGCGCCTTTCCTCAATCTTCTGCTTCCAGAAGAGCTACATTCAATATCACTTTGCTGAAAATGATTAGAACATACTTCAGCCTGTTTAGATAATTTGTGGTTTGCTTCAAATGCTAGGAGACATAACCATATATTCCTCTGTACTAGGTCAACAGGAAATGTGCAAATCAGTGACTGAATCAATTTTTATGTTTTTAAATTTGAAGATAATAAATAAAATTTTCCCAAATTAGTCAAACAAATCGAATGTGTGTGAACATGTAGCATGTGCTACTTACTGTGGCTACTTATAAAGTATTTTTATAGAAATACAGGCAAATTGTGGTCATTGGTCATCCCAATCCAATGAGTTATTATATAGAAAAATCTAAAACCACACCGCTGGATGTAAACATAAGCAATACTTACACATGAAATGGAAGATGTTGTCCTTCTTCCTTATAGTCCAAAATCTTACATACACAGCACTGTCTCACCATGATCACCTATTCAAACACAAAAATACACCACAAAAGAATTAAAAACTGCAACCGAAAGCGTGTAAACCACTATGCAAATGCAAACCAAGTAGCAATGGCGGGCGCAATGGCGGATAGATCAGGCCAAGTTTAGAATTATCAAAATGAATGGATGAAATCGACGATTCGCGCTGTTGCCAAGTGGATTTCTTTGCGTCCTTAAAATGGATCCGTAATAGAGTTTTTGTTGGTAAATGATACAATTGACCAATAATTTCTCACATTCTTCCATTCAATATATGTGAATAGTTATATATATATATATATGTTTGGCCGCGTTTAATCCAATATATGTGAAATGTAAATATTATTGACGACAGCATTCTTTAAAAATCCTATGTTTTACGTTCGAAGTGTTTGTACATGCAACATCGCAGATTCCCGCTGAATGTTGGATGAAAGTTTCATCCAAACAGATAGGTCTATATTCTTTAGTAGTCTGTAGGGATATCAATTGCTTTTAAAGTGATCTGCAGTGTTGCCGAACCGGAAAAAAACGGAATCGGTAAATAGTGTCGTTGAGTTCGGTATAAGGTAAATGCCGTCCCAAGATCAGTGGTAGATCAAGGATTTTTGAGTCATGAAAAACGTCTGTTATTGTATTGGGCGCGAACACAACTTGTTTTTTGAGGGCATAGTTCTATATTAAAACTTCTACAATGTGCATACTGATCGCTCTTTCAAAGTACTTTGCAAACCATTCTGGAAACTCCCCGATTCTTGCTTATGGGATTGTGAATATTTTTCTGTTTTACCCCAGAACTCACCTCTCATTTTAATTAAATATTTATTTTGAAAACAGACAGGTTTCGGTTTCTTCATTGTTTGTCCGGTGATGAGGTAATGACGGTAATCTACCAGTCTGTACCTTTTGTATGCACAAAAACCAATTCAGGGCAAGCGGAGTAAGGGATAAGGATGTGCGTTCGTAATCATAGGCAACTCAAATCTACGAGTACGCCTCTCATGTGCCCGACTGCCTGCATATGTATGATTGATGTGGGGCATAAAACTATGAATACTACATAAAATTAACTTTTAGCTTTATTTTTAGTTTCAGCTCTTTTTCGGCAAGTATAGAAATATTTAAATTATTTTGAAAAATCGTGGAGAATGATGTTATCGGTAAATATTCTCTTTTCGGTAAAAATACCGAAAAATGCGGTTCAAGTCCATGCACAGACAATCTGAAATTTGCAATATGAATTTATATTCTAAATTCTATGCATATCCATTCATATTCGTCCATATTTCATTTGAAGCTTTTATTTGCCATAAGATTTTAGCAAAATGTAAGATAGTACCGCACCCTGCAGCCCAGTTAACCAGAACGACAAGCTGTCAAGATTGGGGATGTTTAGATCCAGGAAAAGTATCGTTATGTATCGAATCTTATCGTTTTAGGAAGTACCGATACTCTAAAATATTGGAATAAAATTATCGATATCCAGCGGAAGGAAACAAAGAAGAAAAGTTATGTGAAGTTAGTCACTCTTTCTGATACAGTTCGGATTGAAAGATGACTAAACTCGTGAAATGTATCGATACACCCAAGTGTCGTATATAAAAATATCGATCCAAAATAACGGGTATGGGAAGCAAAAATATCGATGCTTCCAAATATAGGATCGTATCGAATATCCCTACTGTCAAGATATATAACCCGAGGTACCGACTTGGAAATAATTTTAAATTTTCATTTGCATTTTTTCAAGTGTTGTGCAATAATTTTGGGAAAAATTCCACGAATATTCTTATAAAGCATAGTAGAGTATATTTCAACAGTTGGCGGAGCGTACTCCACTGGGATCAGGGGGGTGAAACGGGATATTAATGCACAATCTGGCAACCATGTCGCACCCTCAAAAAATGGCCGGTGACAGCCACACAGATCCCCGCGTTGTCATTGAATAGCATGGAATTAAAACTTCTTCAGTGTATATAATCAAATTCAAGCGGATAACCAAATGGAAATGGTATTTCGTCGGCAGTCTGACAATACCTGCTAACTGACATTTTTTTCATATGAAATAATCTGCCAACTACAGATAATTCATACTATTAGCTGACGCAATACCTGCTAACGTCCGGTTGCATTCGTAAATTTGTAGGTTATTAACCACGTGTTGGCGCGCACCGCTTATTGTGTCCAGTTTTTCTCCGAATAACCAGCCAAGACTCCAGAAGTTTTCAAATAAGGGTAAGAATAAGTTTTACTTTATATGCATAATTATATTTTTGAACAAACAACTCATCAAAGCAATTAAAACTGTCAATGATCATCAAAAACTTAATAATGAGACTAATTGGGGTGACATGAATGAAGGACGAAAAATAAAAATTACAGCAGACAAAAATGAATGGAAAAGGAATAAAAGCAACTAACTAAGAATGAAAGGGGAGGATTACCTTGGATTTTCGCGTGACAAGGACAAAAACTTCAAACATAATACCCCTCGCCCAGCGAGGAAACTGGGAATGGCATGTGTTTCAAAAATGTGTTTGAAATCAAAGAAGAGGTTTTGTAATACCAGTACTTTCACCGAAGATATACGAAAAGAAATGTTTTCCCGTTTTTGGAAAAAAATGACGTGGGATCAAAGAAAGCTTTTTGTTTCTGGACATTTCAGCCTCCAGCCTCCATCTAGGAAAACAACTGAAAATGGAAGCAGTAGACGAGAAAATACCATGACATACAAACTACATAATGGTACAGAATTGGTTCAAGTCTGTCGCAAAACATTTCTCAATACTACAGGGCTAGGACGATTCACAGTGGAAAGTTGGAAAAAAGAGAGTCTATACGATATGAACGAGTCTAAGGGAGAATTTAATAAACAGCGAAAGAATAGGAATAATAGGGTACGCGCTTTCGAGGACAGTAAAGCTTTCCTGAATTTATTTTTCGATGACCTTCCGAAACAGCCATCTCACTATGTGAGACAGGATACCAGTAACTTTTATTTATAGTCAACGCCAAACAAAGTGGCGTGCACGTCATCACGATAAAAATTCCCCGACCTAATGCCTAGGTTTCTATCACAAACAATTGCTCTATTGCAGTTTCATATTAATGTGATATATAAATTGTAAAATGGTCATTACTCTCTTATTATGGTTAATAGTCATATAAACATTGTTATTAAATTATCACATAAGTTGCTTTCTGATAAATTTAGACGCATTATGCGAAATAAAATGTTTTGCAAACGCTCCAATCACTTATCGACATGTAAACGCACCAAACCGATTTCGCAGCGTTGACACATTGTCACCTTGAAACTTATTTAAACTGGGAACTGACATTTGTATTAATTTTGACACTGAATCAATTTGTGGCATTTCAAATCTTTATAAATCCTTTGGCCCCGCATACTGTAAATCAACAACTGTTTGTTTCAAAACAAAATTATTCATTTTACGAGTAGATAAAGGCAATTTTGGTATATAAAGATGCCCAAACAGTTAAATAGTCGGTGTAAGGAACTCGTGGCCTCGTTAATGCACTACTTTGAGCAAGAAAGGGACAACAACGGCCTTTGTTGCCTTTAAATGCTGTTCAAGAGGTAGGTTACTAATAATTTATTATATGTAATGTATATTAATAATAGTGAAATTTTATTTCATTTTTTGTAGCGTGTTGCTGCTGCTTTAAAAATTAGTTTAAGGACAGTTAGTCGTATTTCCGAGGGTGTGAAAAGTGATGCAAATTTAGAATCGCCCAAGAAAAAGCGGAGTTATATTAAACGTGTAACCAACACAGCGACATTGGATACAAGTGCCATTCGAGAAGTGATCTATAATATGTATCACAAAAGTAAGATCTTATTATAATAACTTATCAGAAATTTGCATTAATTTGTTAACGTTAATGTCATATTACACATGGTTTCAGAAGAACAAGTTATGATACAAACTTTATGGTCTCGATTAAGACCTAGGGCATTATTTGATGGTAGTGCCACGTCTTTAAGGCGGTTGCTTAGAGATCTTGGATTTAAGTGGCTTAAGGACAATCCGCGACGAGGGCTCATGGAACTACCAAGTATAGCTTCGAAAAGGGTAGAATTTCTAAGGCAATACAATCAAGCCAAGGTTGAGGCCTTATACCAGTTTCTCTTCCTCGATGAAACTTGGATATTTCAAAATGGGACTATAGGTCGCTCTTGGCAAAATGGAAACCAAAAAAGCGTGAAAGCTATTAAAACAGATGGTAAAAGGTATGTACTTTTACACAATTTGCACTATAAAATTTAAAACTAATATATTTTGGATACATTATATTACATGCTGGAAATGAAAATGGGTTTATTGAGGGTAGTGAAGCGATATTTTCTTCGAAAACAAAATTGAGCGATTACCATGGAGAGATGAACCAGGACAATTTTTTGAAATGGTTTCAACATCAGTTATTAGAAAAATTGGAGAGTCCATCTATGATTATACTGGATAACGCCCCTTATCACAGCATGATATTGAACAAAGTGCCCAACAATGCATGGACAAAAAAAAATATCCAAGACTGGTTGACAAATCAAAACATACCATTTTTAAACACAATGTTTAAAACAGAGCTATTGAGTATTGTTGCTCGGTACATAATGCTTCTTAATTATATATATTTTGGTCGACAGTTTATATTTCTTTTGTTTATTCCTATCCTTAAAATAACTGCTTTTTTAGAAACAAACCACCTAAAATATACGTGATTGATGAATTGGCGGAACAACATGGGCACAAAGTTCTTCGTCTGCCTCCTTACCATTGTATATTTAACCCTATTGAGTTAATTTGGGGCATAGCAAAAGGTTACTATAACAGACATATTGGTAGAGATGGTAACAGTGAAAAAGACTGTTTGGATATGTGGAACGAGGCTCTACAAACGGTTACCCCAGACATGTGGAAAAATAGTGTTCGACATACTGAGCAAGAAATTTTTAAATGATATGAAAGAGAACGAATTTTTGATCGACCAGACATCGAACCTTTAATAATCAACTTTGAGAGTGATGAAGATTCAGATTCAGACAGCGCTGAAGAAAGAAACTCCGACTAACTTTATTGTACAGAAAAAGCTTACACCAGTAGCTTACCTAATTTTAGAATGCATTTTTCTGTATGAATTCTGTAAAATAAATACCATGCATAAAATTTGGAGGACCCCATTTGGATTTTTATTCAGTACCTTTAAGCTATCAATTAAATATGGTAGTTTCATAGTGTCATCTGATCAATAATTGTCATACTTAATGATTATGCAAGTACAGATCTATAATTTTATTATACTATTATTTTTGTTCTCATTTGAGGTTAATATTGCTTATAAACCTAGATATGTAAATAATAAATTTTATTATTTTACAAAAAGTTTGGCAACAATGTAAATTTTTCAACACACCCACCTTGATGACGTGCACGCCACTTTGTTTGGCGTTGACTATAGAGCAACATTTTGTTACTCTGAAGCAATTGCATAATTTTTATAGAGAGGTTTGTGATGAGAAAAACAAGCATTGCCTGGGTATAAAGGTGTTTAAGCAGATATTTAAAGAGAAAAATCTTAGTTCGTTTTCACCAAAGAAAGATAGATGTGACATTTGCATAGAGCAGGAAAATAATATTGATAGTAGTATTTGGAGTAAACATATTGAAGACAAAGAAAAAGCTAGAAAAGAAAAAACCGAGATAAGGAGAAAGCTGTTAAAGGCGAGTGCATTGTAATTTGCATGGATCTGCAAGCTGTAAAAGTTGCTCCGTTGGTGAATGCAACAAAGATTTATTTTAAAACAAAGCTAAGCTGCCACAATTTCACCATATATAATATTGTAAGTCACCAAGCCACGTGCTATTGGTTTACCGAGGTCGACTCTGGACTGCAGACGTCGACTTTTGTTTCATGTTTGCTGGATTATTTAAACAGGCATTGCTTACAACATAATTTGCCAATAATTATTTACTCAGACGGGTGCACATTTCAGAACAGGAACAACATTATGTCAAACGCTTTACTGAATTTTGCTATCATGCACAAAGTTACTATTATTCAAAAGTATCTCACGAAAGGCCATACACAGATGGAATGCGACTCAGTGCATAGTTGCATAGAAAGAAAGTTAAAAAACAGGATAATCAAGCTACCCAGTGATTATGTAACAGCTAGAAAAAAAACATTCCCATACGAGGTGATCCAGCTGGAGCACACGTTTTTCAAAGATTATAGTAAAACAGAGCTCCTTCCTTATTCGACAATCAGACCAGGCAGAGAGAACCTTGTGACCGACATCAAAGCGCTATGCTATGATCCCTGCGGTGAACTGAAAGTGAAGCTTGATTTTGATAACGATTTCAAAAGTCTTCAGAGTAGACCGAAACAAATCGCTCCAAACTACCCTAGCCTTTACAGCGATATATTGGAAATAACACAGACTAAATGGAAGCATCTACAATACTTGAAGAGCGTTATTTCCAAAGATTGCCATACATTTTATGACCTTCTTCCATACAAAAAAGATAAAACTGCCGAAAACACTACTGAGTCCGATGCTTTGGAAGGAAAACAAAAAACGAAGAAATGCAAGAAATAAAGTTGTATGTACTTAACTATCTAAAATATGTTCTTTATTTTCTAAAACTATTATTATACCTATGATATTGTCCTTCTTTAGTTAATAAAGTTTCTTTATAGCAATTGCTGCTGAGTCGATAAGTTAAACCGTAACAATATCTGCTATGTGATTTTTAAGTCATATTTTAGCAAAATTAGTTTATCCTGCTCACAGTAACAATAGAATTATAATAAAGTTGATATTTCACGTACAAGGGCCACCATACCAGACCCTTGATGTGTTTTTTCATTCTCCTGTAAAATCATTCTATTTGCACTTAGCAGGTCTTGTCAGACTGCCGACGATTTACCATTTTGAGTTGGTATTTACCGATCCGTTCAAGCGAGTGTAGTTATCCGTTTGGTTATAAGATGCGTGACGTCACGAATCAGCTGTTATATGTCATAGTTATCACCGCAAAATTGTGGTATTTACCCAACTCAAGAGTAGTTTTATATTTCTGGTTATTATTTGAAATGTGACAAGTTAGAATTTTGCCGGGTATTGGATATTGTTATAGTACTTCAGCTTCATTTTTGAGAAAATTGATACAGGCTGACTTCAGTTTTACCATAAAGTGGAGCACCTTATT